CTCTCTCTCTCTCTCTCTCTCTCTCTCTCTCTCTCTTCCTCACTTCTAGAATTTAACTCGTGGATATATTGCGGTAACATCATGCAGTAACGAAGTCTTTTGATAAGTCTCACGGAGATGAGTGATTTACATTGTCGTGCCACGACGTTGGCTAGCGGGTACTTTTCGCGTTTTTTTTTATTCTCGACAACTCTTTTCGCTCGCATAAAAAAGTCGGAAAGAAAGAGTCGCAATGCGGAAAATCATTTTCCCTCCGCGAGTCGATTTAAATTATACCTCATACCTCCCGGAGTCCAGAGATCGCCGCCTAAAATTATTTTTCCATTCGCGTGCTTTTCTCGCGATCAACGCGATTGCTGCTTATTCGAGAATAGAAGCGAAATACCGAAAGTGGCCCCGGCATTCGGTTAATCGAAGCTCTCGCGGGCGCTACGCGCCGCAAACGTTTACCCTGAACCATTCTCCCTCTGCATAAGCCCGCCGCGATTTACTTCCGATGGCCGCGGTAGTACTTCCGATAGCTGCGGTATTGTTTCCGATAAGTTCGGTATTATTATCCTGCCGGGAATCGAAGTCGTGGAGAGAACGGAAACGGGTAGGAAGATATTATCCGTGTATAACAGACCGCGTGATCTCTCTCACTGTCGAGCAGCCACTTGACGTGCATATCTCAGAAGCTCGCGTGCCACGTCGCGACGTGCGAACGTGGAGAACGTGTATGCGATAGAAGGAACGAGAGGGACGAAAGGAACGAGAGGGGAGAGAAAGAGAGAGAGAGAAACTTGGAGAGAATACCTCGGGTGGGTAACCTGGCAGGGATTTGCATGGGACAATATCTTGTCTGATTTATCCCCCAGAGGTTGGGGATGGAAAAGGGCAGACGTGTCCGAAGGATTTATTTCTTCGGCGCTTTACGCGCCGCATCGCGCGACATCGAGAAATAAAGAGGGGGACGGCGGTCTCCTCCTTTCTTCTGCAGGGCAGAAGAGCATTCCGGTTTATAGCCGGTCGTATACAGCATGCGCGACCCCCCCGAGCGCGTTGCGCGCCGCGAGTGGAGCGAAGCGCATCGATGCCCCGCTATATCGCGTGCGCGCGTGCGTTTATGGCCTTTACCGTTTAGTTTATCGGTAGAACACTTTTCCTGGCCTCCACTTGAGCCCCCGTGGGATTTACGGCCCGACCCGTAAAGTCCGACTCCACTTACTTTCGCGTCCCGCGTCCCTCCCTCCCCCCCCCCGTGACTTCAACATCGCGTTTCGCTCTCACAATCGGCAGCCGTGACTACGCTCGTCGTGCCCGTCCGTCAGCAGATAGCGTGTCGCCTACCGACGACTTGTTGGCGATGTTGTTGTCAACGTATATTCTGTCCCGCGGCAATCTCGGTGAATTGTCGTAAAAATACCCGCCCTCCCATCACGCTTATGGTTCTGCTTCGTTCTAAAATGTAGTCTCTGTCCGTCACAATGGTTTAAATGACATTATCGGGGAAGCCATTTTGACGCGATACGAGCAAGACACCATTGTCTGTAAAGCACTTGTAAAGGTAGCACTATATATTCGGTGGACAATGTAACCCTCGACAAAAGATTGTTGTCAAGATGGGTTTCCCGACCGCTATTTCTGAACTCTCATACGTACGCACATGCGCGATTCCGTGAGCGAGTCCGAGGTCAACGTGATAACCATCGGGACAAGGGCGGCAGTAGGTGGCTCAGCTCAATTAGGTGACCGGGCTTTCAGGACTCTGTAATTTTCGTCCTTGCTCCATTACGCTCGCTCCCGAAGGAAAATAGTGATAATGATTATGACAATTTGGGGACGAGCAGCGCGGAGAAATATCATGTTGAGATACGCAGCGTATCCCAGATATTCAACCACCATTTCTCGTTATTAATAAATTATCTATTAGATATGATATCTGAGATGATCAGTTTGTTTAACGAGAAAAATTGGAGGAATATTGGAGGAATAACAACCTCTCTTGACGCTGATAAAATTATTTATTTGCGCGATTTAATTAAAATGTTCGATCATCTCCCGACATCCTTTCGCGATTCTGACATCGTTTCTATTAGTTCTTAAACAAAGCTACGGACCTAATCTCGATGACTTCGCATACATACGTGAGAGGGTAAGGAAGGGAATGGCGAAGTTAGTTGGAGACTTCATAGTTTGTCGTTAGATGCGAATACATATATATATATATATATATATATATATATAGTCAGTTGACGAGAGTTTCATTCCGGCAAGTTCGCGCGGGTTTCCCTACAGTAATTACTTGTAAATCTCTTACGAATAACGGCAAACGCGAGATTAATTTTGCCTACGAGAACGTGTAATAATTGGTATCATTACAATTGCGGAAAATATGCAATTAATACATATTGCATCATTATTAAAATTATTTGTATAAAGCAAACATCATTATCGCACACATGTTTTGAAATATGAAAATTTTACTCCTTTAATATCCATTTATATTAATGTAGATTAATTTTAATTTCACTTTAATTTATCTTTCCCTTTTTTGATTATCAGAGCAAAAAGAGAATAAAAAAACAAATTTAATCAAAATTAAAATTATTTATATTGATATTTACATTGATAAAAATAAATATAAGATTCTTATATGATTCGTATCGCGCGAATTTTGAAATATATCAAAATGTATCAAACGTATTCAAGACTTTTAAAATAAACCAGAAATAAATCGGTATGCTGCAATCGAGCGAGTTAAAAGAAAATCAATAGTGCGCACTGGAGCGATTTAATTTTTCTTCTTGATTCCGCTGCTTCTTTCTACTTATGTCCAAAGTGTAGAAAATTTTATTTTATTTTGCCGAACGTCACTCTGCAACGTCAGGATCAAACATACTCGACTTTTTCGCTGTGCACGACGAACATACAAATATATATATATATATATATATATATATATATATATATATATATATAT